AAAAAAAAAAAAAAAAAAAAAAAAAAAAAAGAACTACATAGCAAGACCCTCTCACAAAAAAGTCTCAAAATTTCTCCTGTATTTGTTCCAATGGGGGTCTTTCAGAAGGTGATCAGATTGTGAGATTTCCAGCTTCATAAGTGAATTAATCCACTGATTAGATAATAATTTAATGGCATTATTAGAAAGTCATAAAAATTTAGAAGGGCCTAGTTGAAAGGAGATCACAGGAGTGTGACCCTGGGGACTGTGTCTTGTCTATGGCCTCTTCCTCTGGCTCTACCGTTCCTCTCTGGCTCTTTCCATCTCACCTTTGCTCCACCAGACCTTTCGGCTGTGTTGTTTCTGCCTCACCACAGGCCTAAATCAATGCAGCCAACTACCCATGGCTAAAATTGGAAACTATGAGCCAAAACAAATCTTTGCTTAAGTTGCTTACTTCAGGTACTTTCAGGGGCCCGGGGAGATGGCTCAGTGGAATAAGCACTTCTCTGGCAAGCACAAGGACCCGAGTTCAATCCCTGGTTCCACCAAAAAAACACTACTTCAGGTACTTTCTTTTTCCTTTTTTCAGATACTTTCTTACAGTGATGAGAAGCTGACACAGGAAGTTGGTACCAGGAGTGGGGTCCTCATTTCCAAGGTGCCCTCAAGACATCTTTCCTATTGTTCTATGCAAAGGGCTTGGTGGCTTCTTAATGGCACTAGTCTGCTTAGTAACCACACATTCCCTGGCTCCAACTGAGCACATGTTGCTTTTCTAGCCAAGCTGCAAGTTTCCCAATTTTGTCAGCTCTACTTTGTGCTCCCAGTGCTCAGTGGAAAGGCAGCCAGCAAGCAATATACAAGCCCCCCCCCTAAATACAATGCTACCTTGAAATTTCCTCCACCAGATTAGTGCGTTGTTTTTTTTGGTGGAACCGGGGATTGAACTCAGGCCCTTGTGCTTGCCAGGCAAGCACTTATTTTACTGAGCCATCTCCCTGGCCCCTAGTGCGTTTTTAAAAAGCCTTCATACACACAGTGGTAAAGCATGGATAAAATGCAGACAAATTCTTTATCAGTATGTAACCCTCGGGCTGGCCAGACAGCTCAGTGGACTAAAGCACCTGCTTAGGCACAGCACAGGGGCTGGGGTTCAATCCCCACCACCACAAGCCATGCAGGCCCTATCCCCAGGGCGCGCTGAGATGGCTATTGAGATTGGGTGTGCTGTTGCATGCATGTACTTTCAGAGATTGAACACTACCTGAAGTAGTGTTTTTTTGGCTGAAGACAGGAGGATCACTCTGAGTTTGGTCTGTGTAGTGAGACCTTGTACTAAATACATTTAAAAAATGTAACACTCAAGCCCTCCAGGCTCAATTCCCAATAGCATACTCATTGTCATCTGAAACCTCATAAATGTGAACTTTTCCTATCTGTATTCCTGTTAGCATTCTGATCCACCAAGATCATCCATTATGAGCTTTTTCTAACCTACATTTTTTGAATTTCTGTCCCAAAATAGCTCTACAGGCTTTTAAACCACACAATCAGATATAGGTACAGCAAAAACC